TGAATTCGAGTTTGGTGCTTCTCGCTAATTTTGGAGAAAGTTAATTATTTTTATTAACATATCATCATAACTTTCAGTCCTTCTTAAATGTCTTATTAAAAGTATGCTAAAATATCATTGCAATAGTCTTATTTTGTAAACTCTTCTCTCTGTGAGCTTTTTGGTCCTTTTGACACAGGATTTTCTTGCAGCCTCAGCTGAACTGGAACTCACTATGTAGACCAGGCTGGCCTCAGTCTCACAGAGATCCACCTATTTCTGCTTCCCAAGTGCTAGTATTAAGGCTGTGTGCCACCACACCCAGTTTAAAATGGTCTTTTCCTAATGTGTTATTTGTTGGGTTCATGAAAAGACCAGCACCGCAAAAGACCACTCTGAGGCGAGAAAAAGGAAAAAAAAAAAAAATTGTTGGAATATGGAGCTGCTGGGCCACTCTCATGTGAGAAAGAGGGGTCAGCAGTTTTTTGTCACAGCAGGCTGAATTTATAGGATTTCTTTCTTTTGTTTTCTTTTGTAGACAGGTGGTCAGGCTGTGGCAGAAGGAGGTGGGGGTGAATCAATAGCAGGTTCTTGGTAGGAGGAAATTTTGTTTATGTGTTTCAGTTTTTCAGGTAACCATGATGCAAAATTGAAGTTATGTTTAGGGTGCATTGTTAAAAACAAGAGTCAGGTTGTTACTGAGAAACTAGGGCTGTTCTTTAGGGATGCTGCCTGCCAGGTTGTGGATGCCATGTTGTTGGTCAGTAGTGACTCTAACTTGGGATCCAGTTCAGTGGAACATTCCATATTTTGCTGGGGATAAGGGGTGGTGTTTTGTTTCTGTAGTTGCTTCCTTGATGGGCAGGGTTGTTGATAATCTCTCAGGGGATCCTGAATTTGGTGGTCCATTGGTTCCCCTGGAGTCCACAGAGAGTCAGTTCTGAGTTGGCTAAGGCCTGGTAAGGAATAGAAGTAAGACAAGTTATTAGAAGTTAGTGTTGGTTTGGTTTGTGAGTTGACTCACTTGGTTTTCTACACATTTCAGGAGGCAAGGGGCTATAAGGAGGCTAACAGTTCCTGTTAGGGGCCCCGCTAGGGGTAGGAGCTAAGACCAAATGGATCTGAAGACATCCCAGGAGCTAGAAGAGGAAGTTGTTCCTGTTTTGAGTTGATTGGCTAGGTTTTGGAGGTTATTTATCTCTAGTTCTACTTGTCCTGACCGATTTAATAGTAGTAGCATTCTTTATTTAGGAAAAGACAGGTCCCCCCCTTTTCTACTATAATGAGGCCCAAGGCCTATCGGTTTTACAGAACTACTGATACCAAGGAGGTGAGTTGTTGCTGGAGTAGGCTGAGGGCCTTAGATGTTCCTGTGACCTTTGCATTTAGTTCTGCAGAAAGTTGTTGGTAAGAGTTAAGACTATGTCCCAATCCTCCAGTGGCCAGTCCCGTAGCTGGTATGGAGGCAGCAAGGCTGACTCCCACTACGACCAGTAGGAAGACAAACATTTTTTGTTAACGGTGCTCGGTAATAAAAAGAATGTTATTTCACTTTCTGGTATAGAGACTAAGGTTGGGGACTAGGGTACCTGGAACACAGGGTCCAGGACATTGACTGGAGAGATACAGGTATATAGAGTTGGATTGTACCAGAAGTCAGTTTCAGCTTTTTTTTTTTTAAGATTGTAGAGTTTTTAAAAGATTCAGGCCAGCATTAGGAGATGTCTGCATGCCATCAGTCAACATGCTCTGAGGGGAAATGGAGATTGACATAGAAGATAAGGGCAAGAAGGGTTGAGAGTGGAGATAACGTTAAACAGAGGAACAGCTGTGATCAAGGGTTGTAAGCGGGGCACACAGAGAAAGCAGGCAGTATGGTAGGTTGTGTTGAGTTGGTTAAGTAAGAAGAGTGTAGAGGTAAGGACAGAAATCCATGATGTAGTGAAAGTAGTGACCTGGTGATCATCTCCTTGGGCAGGCCTGCATTGCTGGGGTGAAATGCCATACCCAGGCTGGGATAGTGATAGCCACATTTCCATGAGGATCGTCCTCCTCTCTCCTTATAATACGGCTAGTTTGATCCTGAGGAAGCAAAAATATGTGGCTCATGCATAAGAATGTTCTCTTTTACGACAAGAATATGTGCAAGTATCCAGAACATGGAAGGCAGAGGAGATAGATGAGGCACAGCTGGAGATGGGACAAAAGGTAGAGTTTTTGAGTGTTTTGTCTTCCTGTAGCAAGAATATCAAATCACCAGGCACAAGGAGGGGATGAACACAT